GGGGGGGGGGGGGGGGGGGGGGGGGGGGGGGGGGGGGGGGGGGGGGGGGGGGGGGGGGGGGGGGGGGGGGGGGGGGGGGGGGGGGGGGGGGGGGGGTTGAGACTATCTCCGTTGCCCCCGCCTAAGCCTCGGCAAGTCGCGAAAGCGAAACCGATCCCCTCCGTCTCTGATGCCGCGCGGAGGAGGCGGCCCCCAGAAGAGACTCGAACAGCACAATGCCCCCGGCGCCAAGGAAGAAACGGAAGTGCCGGCCTCGGGCTCGCCCACCGCCGCCGGCCCGGCCAGGCGCACCAAGCGGGCGGCGGCGGTCGCTGCTGCGGCCGCTATAACGGTGGACGCAGCCGGCCGCGGCAGCGGCGGCGGCGCTGGTGCGCCGGGCGGACGGCCTCCGCAGCTGCTGTCGCCACCGACGAGGAAAGGACCGCCTGCGGCGGCGGCGGCAGCGGCAGCGGCGGCAGCGGCTCCTGCGGCTCCTGTGGCGGTTGGCAAGTGGGGTAACGGCGCTGGTGGGGCTTCCGCGGACGACGATGACGCAATGTCGCTAGATAGCGGTGAAGGGGAGGACGGGGGGGGTTCCAGCTCTGACGCCGTCGAGTCGGACGGTGAGCGCGTTGTGGAAAGCAACTTATATTGACTGCTGTTTTAGGGTTGCTCCTTGCGGGGGGGGGGGGGGGGGGGNNGGGGGGGGGGGGGGGGGGGGGGGGGGGGGGGGGGGGGGGGGGGGGGGGGGGGGGGGGGGGGGGGGGGGGGGGGGGGGGGGGGGGGGGGGGGGGGGGGCGAGGGACGCTTGGATATTCTTCTTCCTTGTTGGGTTGTTCTTCTCGGCGGCAGCTGGGCACTATTATAGTGTGTTTGTCCTCCCACCCGTGCCTCCTCCTGCCGCTTCGGCCGTGTGCCTCCTATTGGATTGGTTTGTCGGCGTCGTCTGTAAGTAGAAGCTAGCTCCGTGTGAGCGCATGAGGTGATTCGAGGAGCGGTCGCCTCTTGTCCGATTTGACGTTGGACGTGGTTGTCGCGACTGTGTTGGCATTTCTCGAGAGAGCTGGGTGCTCGGCGTTCGTGGCTGCACCCTGCGCTACGGACGAAGCCTCACTATCTCCATCCCGAGGCAAACACGATAACAGGCACAGCTACAACAAGGCACACGATAACACCAATCTGCTGACCGCAGCGTGCCCCCACCCCCCCCCCC